CAGAGCCTGTGCAGGTGTCGTGACGCCCAGTGCCATGCACAGCCCTGGGGTGTCACAGCGAGGTGAGGGGGACAGGCTGGCACTGCAGGAGCGGCACTGAGCACAGCTCCTCTTGGAAGGGAGCGCAGCCGGCAGAGCCACATGCACGACTGGGTGGCGCCACCGGGGCCGCTCAGCACTTGCAGCAAGCTTTAAAACCCAGCAGAACGCCCAACTGCAGCGGAGACCTACACGAACTGAGACTGCCATGCCTGTGTTTAATGGCAGAAGACCTGTGACCAGGAGGGGAATTCCTGCACAGGGAAAAGCTGATATTTGATGGGAATTTGTCCCTGAAATAAAATCTGCTGCCAGACACAGCTGCCAGGCTCCCTGCTTGGTTGACCCTTGTCAGGGCCAACCTTGTGCTTCCATGCGAGGTCTCTGCGTAGCACCGCGAAGGTCTCTGCTCACCTGTGGCAATGGGGGATGCTGCCGAGCTGGTGTCCTGCGTGGTGACTGCGGGCAGATCTGCAGAGGGGAGAGCACAGGATGACGCCTCCCTGTCCACACTGCCGAGCATGAGTGGGCGGCCCAGGGCGCTGGACAGGTCCCCAGGCCTGGGGTTGGCCACGGCAGCTCTGGCCTGGCCACAGGGGCAGCCACCTGTCCTGCCCGCCATGAGCAGCAGCGAGGCCCTGCCCTGTGGCCGCACAGACCCTGCTCCCACCCCCGCCACGGCCAGCCCTGCTCGGAAGCAGGGAAGATGCCAGACCTTGTGGCTTCCTCTCCAAGTGGCACTAAAATCATGACTCATATTCAGGGCAAAGTGTCAGATCCACATAGAGGAAGAGGAAACCTTTTGCCTTGGTCATCACACAAGCTCTTGCCTGGGGACTCACCTCTCACCGTGAGCTCTACAGCATCGCTCTGCTGGACAACCAGGGCCCCGACGCGGTTCTCTGCTTCGCAGTAGTATTTGCCCGAGTGCGAGGGCCGCAGGTTGTCAAACGTGAGCTCGGCCCCGCTGCTCAGGCGCCGAGCGGTGCCTCCCGGCTCCCCCAGGAACCAGCGGTAGCTGATGGGGGGGGGGCTCGCCGCCCCCTGGTGCTGGCTCCTGCCGGGAGCACCAGGCCCAGCTCTCCAGCCCTGATGACGGGCTTTGTCACCGCAGCTGCAAGACAAGCAGACGGGGCTCAGCTCACCCCGGCCTCCGCCCTTTCCGAAGCCTCCCCTGTGCTCTGGGGCAGTTCACTTGTGGGGCTTGAGCCCTTTCAGCAGGGACAGGGGCACCAGAGGTGCTGGGCACTTCCATGCACAGCCTAAGTTCCCTTCTGCTCTCCCTACAGATGGCTTTACACCAGCTAGGCCACACACACAGCACTATCCTCCCACAGGAGGTCGGCTCTGCTGCCCTCTGCCCCACCACACGCACCCGACACAGAGGTCACTTCTAGTGCACACCGAGATTCTGAGGATTTGGCCCATACTACACCCACTTGATTTCCTACTTGCTATAGGAACTATAGAGACAGTGGTTATCTGAATGGAGGGCAACTGTTTAGTGCTATCTCAAGTAGCAGTGGGTTCAAGCGGCCCCCTGGTACATGCAGATTTGGGTCTGAACTCACTGCTCCCCCTTCCACAGTCCACCACAGTCCTGCGGTGCAGTATTTCCTCCTCAGAGGAGAGGGATCAGCAGCAAGGGAGAGGCCGATGCTCTCCCATGGAGACACCTCGCACCCAGTTTGGATGCGCATAGATAGTGCGCTCCAGAAAACTCTTCCTTGGACTACGTGCATCCTAGTGGCAGCCTCTTGTGTTACGGGATTTGTGAATTATTAAGGCTACGCAACAGCAGGGCTTTACTGCTGCATTTACCTTTGACAACTTTAACTGTAGTGGTCATCTCCTTTGTTATCACGCCATTATTTTTGGAGTTCCACGTGACTTGACAGGTGTAGAGTCCACTGTCAGGGATTTCGAGGTTCCTCATTTGTAGCGTGACATCCCCTGGGGTGTTCTTTGGGACAGTGACACGGTTTCTGAACCGAGACAACAAGACGTGGTCACCAGAGTCATCCCTCCGGAAGATGGTGGAGGTGCTGTGGTCTCGCGTCACGCTCCAGGTGAGCGTTTGCTCTGTGAAACCTTCTGAGGGCACATAGGTACAAGGTAAAGCGGTGGATCCCTTCCATGTCCCATTGACCTGGTGGAGGCCAGACAGGTCCAGGAGGGCTGTAGGGAACAACATTTGGAGAGGAGAAATAAGAACACTGCAAAAGAGAAAATGCCCTTGGGACAGGCAGGAATCACCTGAAGGTGGAAGCCAGCATGAAGCAGCATGCTAGCGTGCTGCAGATCATGGGCAGCTAAACCTGGGCTGGTTTGTATTGCACGGAGCATAGGGACGTGAACAGCTGCTCCAATCCCAGGGTTGTTTTTATTGATTCTCTCTGGATGCCTGCCAATTTGCAAATCCTTCGTGGCACAGAGATGCACAAATCCTGCTCCTGGTGGCTGCATCACAGCCACAGTGCTCACGAGATCTTAGAATGCACCTCTAATTCCTGCTCCCCTACCCCAGCCCTCATGTTCTGTTTCTGCTTCTACTTGCAGCTGGTGAGTCAAACAGCAAGACTTCCTCCCACCCCCGAAGACGCTGACTGCTCTGATGACACCCTGTAATATTTGTTCTGTTCCTTACATGGAGGAGGAAGGATGAATAGGTCAATTTTATTGTTTTACTGCAATTAAGCATATTTGTTAGGTCCAGCATTTGCACTGATATGTGTCACTAATTTCTTTCGTAATTTCCCCGTTCACAGGTCACAGCAGTACAGCTCTGCAGGCAGAAGCACTTCCCTGCAAGAGCTTGTCCCAGGGCCATCAGGAGGGACTGCGCAAGGGGAGGTGAGGAGCTGCACATCTCTGTGCAGGACACAGTCTGGGGGACTGCTGGGGCCGGACGCAGATGGAGGTTGTTTCTGACATGGAACTCTATTTTTTCTTTATCAGAGAACTTTGAGAAGGCAGGTACAGAATCTCACATCTCTATCAAGCACAACTCCTTGAGAGATCTACTTTTGAAGGTTTTCCATTTCTCTTCTCTCTCTTTTCAGACTCCCATTTAGAAAAATTCAGAAGGATGGAAGTTATTTAGAAAATTGCTCAGATAAACTCCCAAGGGATTTGGTGCTCTCTACTTCAACTGTGTTTAGCATCCAGGGTTCACCTGGACACAGTTTTAGTTAAAGACCTCTCCGGTACTGTTTTACACTGTTGTGTGCCATGGGATGGCTGCTGAGGTGGCTGATCCCCATGGGGCTGGCGACTCTGCTTCTAACTGACTGTAGCACTAGTGGGGCTGTCCCCAAAGGGGAGCGAACTGAAGGGAATAGAGAAATGCAGCAAAAGAGAAATCTCTGACAGGGCATTCTTAAAGGAAATATTTCCTCCCAAGGCAATTTTTAAACTGGAATATAATCCTCCGAACAATGTGGGTCCTCCCACTGGTGGCAGACAGAGCTGGACTGGATGAAATCTGAAGAACTGCATTAGAGCATCCCAAGCAGGTCAGAGGAACTTGTACTCTCTCTAACATATGAGAACAGTGTAACATTTTAAACTTTGTAAAGTTTAAAGACCGACACCACATCCTGACGCTTCAGCCTTGGAGGGCTTCGGATATAGCTGAGCTTCGTGGCTTTGTGTGGGCCCCAAGCAGATAAGCAAGGGCCCTCCAAGCACTACCATGCACACGGGAGAAGGGGGAGGCAGGGGAGCAGGTATTTTATGGCATCCAGCTCATTCTTATTTTTCCATCTGTCTGACCAGTGACACCACAGCTCCTTTAGGAAGTGCCCCGAAGTGAAAATTTACCTGAATTTATCCTGACTTGAAATGCACTGGTTTTATTAGCTGCAGTGTTCAAGATCCTTGGAGAGGATCTGCCCTGGTATACCAGCTTCCAAAGCAGTTTGTGCTGATACCAGAGCAGATCCTCTCCAGGGATCCTGAACAATCTCATTTTGCTCTCGCTCTGGGGGCCATGGGACCCAATACTGTTCCACCCTCAGAAGCACATCACTGAATCTGATGCCAAAGGAGACTCTTATAGTTCCCAGACTCTATTTTTTTTTCATGCAGGAAACGAGAGATTTTCCATGCTTGACAATTTTTCAAAAATGAAAGCACTATAATTCAAAAGATTTCCCCTGCTTAGTACTCCCCCTCACTACTTAGTACTGCTTAGTACTCCCCCTCTTAGTACTCAGATTTTTTTTAATATGAGGAAACATTTACTCACCACTGCAGCTGATGATGGCCTTCGCAAACACCACTATCTGTAGCATTTTCTCCATTCTCCTGGAACTGGAGGTTCGTCCTCCTTCCCGTCCACTTAGAGAGACCCACACTCCGGAGACCAGAACTCAAGTCAAGAACACTTCCTTTTCTTCCGTCCTATATCATCTAGGATCCAGGCTGTGCTGCTGCCCTTTTTCCTTCCTTCTTTCTGAAATACTACAAGTCCATTTCAAAGATCATGAGGATCTTTCTGCTTCCGTTTCATGTTCTCTTGTCCCCAGCCACTTCTCTTACCATTTTCTTGACTTTTTCCAATAAATGCTCTAAACACTCCTTTTTTTTTTTTATTCTCTTCATAATTGGGTGTTTTGTTTTGTTTTTCCCTCGTTCTTTCTTTCACTCCATGCTTGCAGACAATGGAAGAGCTTTTTTATGACTACACAGTCAAGCAGCTGGCAGTAAGGAAAAGCAAACTTCAGGACGCTCAAGAAATAACAGCTCAGGTCTCTCAGACTTGCGTGTAGTGGCATTGCCATTACTTGCACAATTACGAACTATTTTGCCATGCCCAGGACAGGTGGTATTAACTCACCAGCTCTGCTTCTAACACCGCTTTGTTTCATCCCGTCCTTCTCTGCAGTTCTAGAGCAGGAGGACGAAGAACAGAGCGATCCAGGCGGGCTCTGCTCCACGTCCTCCTTGGGCACTCGGCTCTCCCAGCTGCTGCAGCCGGAGTCTCCTGGAGTTCCCGCTCGCCTGAGCAGCTCCCGCAGCCTGGAGGAGACGGCGGCCCCGGGGCAGCCCGAGCCCTTTTTACCCCAGGGTTTGACTTGGAGCCGGCTTGGGCAGCAGCTTCTACGGCAACAGCAAGGTACATCCTCAGCATCCCCTGCCAAATTTGAAGGCACAAAAATGCTTTTTTCTTCCAAGCTGCAAGTTTTTTGATTTACTACTACTATCTTAAAAAAAGAAAAAAATTTAAAAAAAGGCATTGGTTTATTTCATTCACTTAAAAGCCAAATATATGCACAAAATACTATTTAACTACAGCAATTTCCTCTTTTATCGATACTGGTTACAAGCATATTTGTCTAAACCTTTCTGCTCCCAGTAATGGCTGAGAGATAGCGTGACTAAATTATTTTTTTTGATTTTTCAGGTAGAAGATGAACTCAAATACAGGAGTTATCAGCTAAAATATCACCAGGGTGACAACCAAAATCATTGAGATCACACTCATATAACAAGAAATATTAGTCCTACATAATAAGAAATTTCAAAACTTCCAGGGTGATTGGCAGTTCAGGAAAATGATTAATGCATTCCCAGAACTAAGACTGGCATGACTTACAAATCAGCAATTTTTCATACACTACAGTTTTTTTTTTTGAAACAGAATTGTCTGTTATCTTTCATTTGTTTAAAATCTAGAAAGCAACCTGAAGCAGCTTTCAGTTCATAAGAAATTCAGAGTATTTTTTGAAACACAAAGAACTTTTTTCTGATGGGCCTGGAGGGAAGGTTCATGTTGCCACAGCTATGTCCCAACGCAGGGGTAGTTGTTGGGTTTAGGTGGGAAGCGTTTACACAGCAGCTGACGTCACTTAATGCAACATGACTTAACCCAACCATTTGTACATCCTGGCCCTCGACTGGTGTCCTGAAAACTTACCTCCTATTCAAAAGGCTTTTAAAGAAGTTGGATTTTGGAAAAACATGTCCCAGTACAAGCTCAAAACCCAAGCTAAAACTGCTGATTTGATTATTTCTGAACCGGACATGCAAGACTTCCTCAAGCTATAATTACAGAGGATAAAAGTTGACTACTTAGCTAAAACGAACATCACTAACTGTAGTTCCTCAAATGTGATTTACTTGACATCTTTCTTTCCTGAGGACAGCGACATATCTCCTAGTTTTCTCCTCCCTGAGTCACAGTCTGCCCATTTCCTTCTTCCTAGAGAGACTCCTCATCATTTTGCATCTGAGAACATGAAGAAAAAGTCTCTAACGTCTCAGATGTTATTCCTGTAGGATAAATGATGGCCAGAAGTTTATGTAGCAATGGCAGCAGTGCCGAGATACTCATATTGCTGCACTCCAGCCAAGAAACACGCTGTTCAAGAGCGACGTACTTCCCGACGCAGGTCTCCATCCAGCTGCAAGGGCTCCCCAGCTTCCCCCACATCCTTCAGAGACAACCACTGTAAAACCCGCAACTTCTGTCTGAAAATAAAGAAGGAAGAAAGAGAGAGCTGCCAGGAGCGGTGACGCAGCTTCGAAGCGCTGCCCCTGCCAGCCCAGCCCGCAGGTCGGGGTGGCACCTGCTGGGCTGGAGGGGCTTCTCCCTCCTCTGAGGACACGGGTCATCCCACCCAGTGACTCGGGTTTGGAGGGCCTCTGCTTTCCAGGGGCTCCATATACTGCGGAAGCCCTAAGCTCCCATTTCCCAGCTGGAGCGCACACGGAGGAGTTGCTTCACAGTAACATTAACATTCTCTCCCCAGCAGGGCTCCAAAAACTGCTCCCTCACTGACAGCTGAGATGCAGAAAATGCAGCAGTCATCCGGAAAGCTCTACCGATTCATCATTGCCCGATCGTGGCTTTTCTTTACCCCCTAGAAAACCCTTGCAGCAATAACCGAGTGCCTTGCAGTATGAGTGCAATAGTTCGCCCTCCCTCTTCACCTTCCTCCTTAAGAAAAGCAAAAAAACAAACCAAATACAGTGGCTTTTTTCCTTCTACATAAGATGACTCATTTTCTATCACATGCTAAACATCTAATTTCACAAGGAGCTAATCTCACATTGCATGAGCAAAAACTCTTGTATCTGCTGTTTCCTCAGCTCCTGCTGACTGCAGTCTGCAAGCATGACCTGACAGCACCACCACAGCACATTCCAAACCCCAGCAATTGCACAGCTCCTCTGCTTTCAGGCACAGGAGGTGACCAGCAGCCAGGAACCAAATCCCTAGGTGCACACACATTCATGCACACCCAGCCTTATAAGCAAAATAAGAAGCATAACAAAATTTGCTAAGTACTCAATGCAGAATTTTAATGATTTTCATGTGATTCTACACATTTGCTATAAGCTGTATACACCTGCTGATATTTTTCTAAGAAGGCATTATCACCAGCAAAACCAACTGCTCACTTGTTCCCTTTTCTTTTGAAATTGAAGTTGCACAGCCCTGGATTTTTATCTATACTATTAACAAAGAGAAATGAAAACTCTGATACAGGAAGTTTAGGGAAAAAGTACAAGAACACTTGTGTGCACTGGCAAAATACCACCAAATGTTTGTGTTCAATAATCATTCATGAACTTATATGTCATTAAATCTTCTAATTACTCATGGAGCCTCCATGGACTTTGGATCTTCCTAGCAGTGGATGAGCAATGATGTGTTGCATGCTCAGTTATGTATTGCACATCAAAAGTACTACTTATTTCCCTGTAAAACTGCTACCAAATTATTTTATCCAATGTCTGCTGCCTTTTGTCTTCTGAGAACCTGTAAACAATATTGCCTATTCATCTTTATACCATTTTCAAATGCTTTTCTCGTGTTTTCCATACTCTCTTATTCTCAAGATGTGAAATTATAACACATTTAATCTGTTTTCCTGCACCAGTGGTTTCAGGTCACTGATCATCATTCAGTGCTGCTCTTAGATCTTCCCTCATTCTAGTGAGGGTTCTAAGGTGAGCACCTAGAAGAGGCAACACTCTCTGGGCCTTTGACTTTTCTGTTGTGATTTACTTCCTTTCCTAATGGCTCTAATGGAATTTTTGAATGCTGGTGAATTTTGAGCTCATGCTTTCAAAAACAGCACACATTTACTGAAGGGTAATAGCAAATTCAAGGCTTATGCCTTTTCTATGTCAGCTTACCTGCTTTTTGTCTGCATTGCTTTTGGTCTGACATGGTATTGCCCTATTAGTTGTTATAAAAAGATTCTCCTGCACCTCTGCAGTTTATCTGTATCATTGATTTACTCAGGATAGTAAAAACTAAGAATTACAAAGCTTTTCACCTCCCTACGTACCCTTCAGACCTTTTAATATGCAAGGAAAGCGCTTAATGAGTAACTACTGGACACCTGCCATAAGGAGTTCTTATTAATAAGAACAGGTCATGTAAAAATACTCCTATTCATATCAAAATTTAGGCACATGTAAACAATCCTAGCCACAACCTTAAGGAAAAGTATCTCATCTCTTCAAATACTAAAAATACCATAAAAACAGAAAAGTTGATCTCAAAAAATATGCATTGTTGCAAAATTACAATTCCTCAAGTGCTCAGCTCTAAAACTGACCTTTTTATTGTAATTGGAAAGTGTTTATTTTATTGTAAGTGCTCTGCAGAGACGCATACCAACTACAGCATGGGGGAGTCCCTGGACACTTCTGCTCTAAGCACAAAGAGATCTTTGAGATTAACCTAGCTTTAAGCTAAGCTGAATGGGGCTATTTAGCAACACCTTGTGCCAGGTCTGCTCTCATCAGAGAAAGATTGTTTATAAAGAGAATTAAATTCCTTTTGGCCATATAAAACAGCAAGACTACTAGAAGTGCTCCCAGCCCCTAGCTTTCAAAGGGTGAAATAGAACCAAGAAAAGCAAAAATGGAAATGCCTGTACAGCAGTCTACAGTCTGTGAATTTTCTAAAGAGGAAATTTCTGCATTTTCACTGCAGAAATTTAAGGCTCCACAAACTATGGAGGATCAAAAACTGCACGTTAAACCAATTTTTCAGAGAAGATGAATACAAAGGTGAATTCTGTGTGGATGAGGGTGCTCTTCAAGTGCCACCTGGTTCTTATACAGTGTCCCCCACTTCATACTCAGATTCCTTGGAATTTGCAGGGTTATCAAACTCTTTCAGGTTTGTTTCTTCACATTTGTTGTTTCTCATGGGCTCTATCATATAGTTGTTTTCAGTAGCGGAGAGAGGTTCTTCATAGTGAGCCGCACTGTCAAACCTTGAGGAAGCCTCTGCTTTCACCGAGTTGCTATGGCTGAAATAAAAACACAACATGAAAGAAAAGTTGCAACTAGAGCAGATAAGAGCATCCCCCAGCTGAAGAGATTTTGAGCTGGACTCTGATCTGACTCAGAGCTGCATAAATGTGGGACACTGGGTTAACACAGTATCCTGAAGTAAAGGATCTTGTCCTTTGCTTCCAGGTGAAGGATAACATTGGACACTACAGCAACATTTCTACAAGTTCAGGAAGAGTTTCAGCGGCAGCAAAAAAAGTACACAAGAATTGCAATATCTCTTCTTGGAATGATGTAACCAGACAACTGTTCTTTGCAGAACAAAGACATATAGAACAGTAGAGAAGTAAGTGGTGAGCTTAACACAGCCTATATCCACCATGTGACTATGGCAAATAACACCTTTAAAACAAGAAGATGAAGCTAAATGTGCAGGGACAAACACCATCACACAACGGATTCAGCTGCTCAGGGCTCAACTGTTGCTTCAACATACTCTATAGACCAGAAAACATGGAATCTGGGCAAACATCATTGGCACATTACACAGTGATGTTCAAGGTGTCAATATTTTAATTTATACCCAGATAAGTAGTTCTTCCTGTATGTTTTGGCTAGATTATTAGGCTGTTCAGCTTGTCTTGCAGGGGTTACAAGCAGAACAGGATGCCAATGTTTGAGTTTAGAAATAGCTATAACATCGCGCTCCAGGTATTATTAAAAGAGGCAAGTTCTGACAGGGATATTTTGGGTATGACATTAGCATTAGATTCTTGCCTCAGGAATATTGGTTGTCCAGAAGAAGGGGAAGTCCTATTTTTTACACTTGAAAAATGTATCCTGGGTGATTTTCACTTGGCCTAACCAAGCCAAGAAGAAATTGAAGAGTTCCCACTCATTTTTGTCATTCTAATATTCTAAGAGATTCCTCTTCTACATTATAGGTGGGAATATATACATATATGATGTGGGAAGACCACAAAAGATCCATAAAATGTACTAGTGAGGTAACTTTTAATCTCATCCCTACTGCCAAAGAGATTTTTCATCTTGATGGATAAGTGGCAACATTTTTCTGCTCTGACACAGTCCCCAAAGCCTTCTCAGAATGTTAGATAAAGGATGATACTCACAATTTTACTTCATAGACATGCACTGGAAAAGAACAATCAAAAGCATATATCAATAATTTGCATTTTTATTTTCAAATATTTCTACTATATATTTTCTTGATATAAAGAAGTGATTTCTGGAGAGAATAAAAACAGAAACCTCAGAGTGTGGTAGGTGGGTGATGACTTATTCCCACGATTCAGATCAAGAAATGAAAAAAAAAAATCCCAGCTGGAACACAACTGGGTCAAATTTCTTGCCCAAGGCCAAAGGTGAAGTTGAGTTTAGAAACCAGAAGTTCCCAGTTCCCACTTCTGATATTCAATAGTTCAAAAAAGGACAATTTTGAAAGAGACTACTTTGGATAACTTAATATTAAAAAAAAGAAAAAAGGCAGTATTTGATGATTAGTGCTAATGAATAGCAAGGAGGTGCAGAAAGGTAGTTCAGGAAAAAGAGGCACTACTATGGCCAGTATTTAAAAAATAAAGCTTTCTGAACTCTGCTGTATTGTTAAAAATCTTTTTCTCACTATTAATGTGTTTGGTCAGGAATTTTCTAGTACAAAGATGACTTCTAATAGAATTGGAAGATAATTAGAAGATTTTCTAATAGAACAGAAGATTAAATCCCACAGGATCTAGATTCATTGGGGACTACCTACAAAAGTGGCCAAAGCCCTTTGGGAAACAATTACATCCCCAGAGTCTCTGGGCAGGAGCTGAGCAAGCCCAGAAAGCAGCTCGAGCACACGACTCGGTTGCTCCCTTTCTGAAAAGATGCATTTTGTCAGTGTGCGTAAGAGGAAAATGGGACTTCTCTGCCCTTCACAGTCTTCCCATTCTGACTCACGTATATTTCCATTATACTATCACGGTTCAAATATCAGAGCTGCTACAGGTAGTAAGGAGCACAGTATCACACCCATGCAAAAAGCCCTGAAGAATAAAAACAAGCTGGGAATGCAGAGCACATTCGAGTTCTCCAGAACACACTACGCACCATTTTTGGGCCTTCTAATGCAAATGATAAGAAAGACGATAAGGAAAACAGCAGCACCACCAGCAGTTACACTATATCGATCATCCTCCTGGGGTCAAGAATGGGCTGGCTGATCAGGCAGACTCTGTAATGAACAATTCTACTATATGTTCCTGTCCCTGCTTTTCCCTATCCTAATACCACCTCGGCCATTTGGCTTTAAGTGTGTTTATAGGTGAGCTATGAAAAAAATCTGCCTAGATTGATCTGACTTAGATCTATAATCTTTCTTAGCTTTTGTTCTGTTCTCCACTTACCTTTAGTTGTATGATTCTTTTCTGAATTTCTTAACTCATTCTCAGAAGTCATTACTGTTAGGGGGAGATCTGCAAAAAACACATTGTCTCCATTACCTTTACAACGCAGTGAAAATAGGAAAGCCCTGAAAGGGCTACATATATACACACACACACACACACACACATCTGCCACAGCAGGAGAGCCTTGTGGAATCCAAGGGATGACTGAAGTATCTCTGAACTAGCTCCGACTCTTCCCTCTAAAATTAGTCAAGAATTGTCAGCATCTTACCTTCAGTTTCTAGTTGCTGAAGACAATTCACATAATCCATAAAGACAAACCACACAAATTACAAGCCTCCTTCAAAACAACTGCCCTTGGTAGTTTGACTCATTTCTGGACAGGTATTTTTTGTATTATCTGTATCTACCAGTAGAGATTCCCACTTCAGTGGAAGTGAATGAGAGTTTTCTTGGTCCAAGACCAGAAAAACAAGTACAAACAAAGACCAAGAAAACTCTTGTTCACTTCAAGACCAGAAAAACAAGTACAAACAAAATAAAAACTTTAAAGGAGAAGGGGGAAAAAATTCAAGATATCCTAAGTGGTTTACATACTAGGAAGTGGTATTTCTAGCAGTCCTCTTCAGAGGCATACAAATTCATTCAGACAGAAAGCTGAAGCAAAAGCATCAAAAATATTAAGTAGTTTTTCACCAGCAACAGAATACAATGCCAAGTGCTGGCATTAAACCTCCAACTTGGCCAAGAAGTAGAGTTAATGGCACAAAAAAGTGTCATTTACTTCCACTAAGCTCCTTGCACTTGCATTTATCTCCCTGTGAAAGAACCCTGTGGCTGGTGGCAGAGTTTGAGGGCCTGCCAAAGTACCTGTGAGCTCCAGCCATGGAGTTGCTAAGTTGGTTCTCCAAGGACACTCCTGCTTGTGTGCTACCACCACAACACACCAAACAAACAAACAAACACAACCACATCCACTCACAAAAAGCAAGATTTTTTTGTGCACAAAATCCTTACAGTTTTCAAGGTCTGATTGTAGAGAGACCAAGCTTACCCGGACAATCTTGAGAATACAGACTCAGAACACTGCCAGTCTGAAACTAGCCTGGCAGTGGATGGAGCAGTTTGTGCCAGCACAACATATGGGTACATACACTAGACACATCACCTCAGCTGCTCACTAGATCTCAGAAAGGACAAGATACAGCCCCTACAAGCAAGTAAAAAGCCCTCCACAGGTCAGAGAATTAGAAAAGCAGGATGCTTTGTACTTCGAGACAGCTGGATTAAAAACTGAGGCAAATAGATTAAAAATAGTCTTCTGTTGAGAATAGGTTCCCCAGCAACAAAGGTCAAGGAAAACACAGAAATTAACCCTCCAGCTGCCTCCTTGTTCTTGCTGCCAGTGATAACCGCTATTAACCCCTTACCTGTAGTTGTGCTGTACCCCTTTGGGATTCCCACATCAGTCTTGAAAGTGACGGTTGTTGTGGACAGACCTGCAAGTTCAACAAGAATGACAGAAAACAAAGGAGTCTGGCTATGGTTTCTTTTGCTGCTCCAGTTTTTCACTGTCTTACAGGTCGAGTAAACAGCTGCCCAGGCAGCGGGTAGGGGACTGGTCACTCGGTGTCAGAGAGCAGGCACAGCCCTCGCCTGCGGACTCACCTCTCACCGTGAGCTCTACGGCATCGCTCTGCTGGACAACCAGGGCCCCGACGCGGTTCTCTGCTTCGCAGTAGTATTTGCCCGAGTGCGAGGGCCGCAGGCTGTCAAACGTGAGCTCGGCCCCGCTGCTCAGGCGCCGAGCGGCGCCTCCCGGCTCCCCCAGGAACCAGCGGTAGCTGATGGGGGGGGATCCGCCGGCCACGCACGTCAGGCTGGGGCTGGCTCCTGCCGGGGGCAACAAGCCCACCCTCTTCACTTGTGGGGCTTGAGCCCTTTCAGCAGGGACAGGGGCACCAGAGGTGTTGGCACTTCCATGCACAGCCTAAGCTCGCTTCTGCTCTCCCTACAGATGGCTTTACACCAGCTAGGCCACACATGGCTACTCCTACACTAAAGACCTTTTCTGCCTTGCTGATGCCATCTCCATTTCTCTAAATCATCACTGCCAGGGCATTCTGGTATCTACATTGGTATTTGCTCAAGGAGGAGTAGTGCAATATCCTAGATTTGCCTTTCTGCTGCATATCCGATTGAAATATCGGGCAATTAGGTACGAGCATTGTCAGGGACAATTCAATCAGTGAGAGGCCACAGAGCTTTTCCCCATTCCCTGAACCAGACATTGCAGTATCACAGGCCTGAATTCCTTTCCCTAACCCACTTCCTGCTTCTCAGAGGAGTCAGGCTCCGCTCAACAAAATGCTCCTGTATTAGAAGCAAGGAATCACTGACTACATGGTCTAGTAAAATCGGTAAATACTTTCTCAACAACAAAGGCTTCCACTCTTGTGCAGCTTCCCTTTAGGATTTACCTTTAATCACCTGAACTCTGGTGGAGATCTCTTTTGTAATCAGGCTATTGTTGCTGGCTCTCCAGGTGACTCGGCAAGTGTAGGTTCCCTTATCAGAGTTTTCAAGCTTCAAAATATGGAGAGACACATTCCCTGGAGAGTTCTTTGGGATCTCAACCCTATCTCTGTACTCAGACAGCAGAATGTGATCACCAGAATTGTCCCTCCGAAAGATGGTGCCTGAACTTTGGTCATGTTCCACAGTCCAAATAAGTGTTTGCTGCAGAAAGTCCTTCACAGGCACATAGCTACATGGCAGGATGGTAGTTGCCTTCCACACTCCTTTAATTTCATTGGGGCCAGACAGGTCCAGAAGAGCTGGAGAGAAAAAAATAAAATAAAAATCAGAAAAGTAAAGGAAGCAGCCCTGCCCCTCCCCCCCCAAAAAAAAAAAAAAAAAAAAAAAAAGGGAAAAAAAAAAACAGGCCAACAGACCTCCACCCCTGTGGTGAAGGAAACTCCTGGATCATGAAACAACAATGAGAACCTCAGCAAGTGGAGTTCACCAGATCAAACACTGGCAGTCAATATAGAGCAAAGGATTGTGTTTCAAGGGGTAGGCTTATAACTCGTGAAGACAATACATGGGAGACAGGTGATTGCAAGAAGAGCTGAAACCTGGCACATGTGCCTGTGCTCTGCCCATTTTTCAGGGGTTTTGACCTGTTCACAGCTTTTTACCTGCAAACGGCAGACAGAACGCAGGGGCCAAATTCAGCTTCAGGCAGAGCATGCGATCAGAGTTCATGGAAGGTTTAAACTTGAGTGAAGCAGTTTGTCTTCAAATCTAAGTCCCACAGCTCCCAGCCACCCTTAGCATTTATCCTTTTGTCACTTAATTTTCAGGGCTATTCTGGGAAGCACTACATGTTAACAACAGCTCATAAGCAGCTTTTATGTTATTCTTCCCTATTGTCTAAACAATCATCCTTTGCTTTTCCATACTACCCTGAATTGAAGCAAAAAGAAGATAACAAAAGTCTAAAACTCCTCCAATTTTACCATTTACAAAACAAGTTTTCCCTAAACACTTTTCTTACTGCTAGGGGTGAACCTGTACTTCCACAAGCACTTTATCAGAAAACATTAGCCTTTACCTAGCTGGAGGAACATCAGAGCGACCCGCATGCCTCCTGCTCTGCTGCTTGCTACATTCTTTGAAAGAACTTGCTATGTTAGACACAAGAGCTTTGCACTGGGCAGCATGTTCATACTCTTCATACCATTACACTCTGCAGCCACTAGATTGGAATCAACTGCACATCAAGCCAGAAGCACAGCAAGGAAGCTGCATGTCTGTTTCTGAAGCCCCTGTGCAAACACTCACCTACACACACCTGTGCCAGGGAAGGTGCTTCCTCTGAACGCTAAGGCTCTTTCATTACTTACCATTACAGAAAAGAAGCAGACTCACAAACACAGCAGTTCTCACCAGCATCCCCATCTCTTCCAGGTCTACAGCTTCTTCTTCCCTTCTAGTAAAAGAGACCTGCTCTCTCAAAGTCAAGGGGTAAATCAGCAACACTTCCTTTTCTTTATCCACTTTGTCATCTAGAACTCAGAACAGCTGGTGATAGTTTTTCCTTCCTCTTTTTTTCTCCTCTACAGAACATGTATGTTCTAGTGATGGCTGTTAGAAACATGGGCAGAAATATTAGTAGAGAAAGAAGAAAAATTATTTCTACAATAGTTTATATTTCCTACTGTGTTTGTTTATCTCCCTGCCTTTTAAAACTCTATTTAGAAATAACCTCTTCCTTTTTTTAATTCCTCCTTTTTTTCTTCCTTATTATTTTTTATTCATGAGCACTTATTTCCTCTTTAAATCTTCACATTAACACAAAAAATCATACTAACTCCATCTAGATGGGGAATTTAGGAATATATAACTGAAAACAAATGATTTCTAGAAACTGCAAGTAGCTGGTTTGACCATCCCACTCTATCACAAATTGAGTCTCCTGTCTCACAAAGCAATTCAGCTGTTTTGATGAATAATTGATTAATTGCATTCAATTAACAATAGAGATTAGGGAGGTAGGTTCCTGGATTTCCCTATGGTTTACTTCGGAAAACTTTACACACATTGTTCTTCTAGAAACCTTGCTGCTTAATTCTGTATAATAATGGTGCTTGAAAGCATATATATAAAAATATTTTGATTATTTATTAATGTTGATTTAATTATGGTAATAATATTGGTATGAGTTTGATTTTTTTTAAGATTCTAATATTTTGATCTATGTCCCCCTGAAGACTGTGATTCATCAGTTTTCCAACTCCAGAATCTCCTTACCTTTATTTGAATAAAAAAGGTTCTAATATTTTGATCTATGTCTCCCTGAAGACTGTGATTTTACTACACACTCATCAGTTTTCCAACTCTGGAATCTCCTTACCTTTATTTGAATAAAATATCTTTATAAACTGTTGTAGTCACAGCCTGGAGAAACATCAGTTCAACTCATTTCTTATAGTCTATATATTTGCAGTTTTATTTAAAGAGGACACCTAATCAATGTAACACCTACCTGAAAAAAATCAAAAACATTAGCTACCAAGAGATTTCGGGGACCTGCTTTCATGTGCTTCTTCTCTGCAGCCTTGTTATTTCCTGCATCAGAAATTTTCCATGAGATGCAATTCCAATCTGCAGTCACTGAGATGGAGAGGAAGAAGCTGTTTGTGCTGGTTGCAGTGTTTGCATACTTCTTGGTTCAAGAAAAAGAAGAAGAAAGAACATCTCAAGTTCAAATTAAGGAGTCTGCTTCCATGGCTGGCTGGGCAGAAAGGCAAAAGCATCGCTCGACTCGAGCTAAGTCGCAAGGGAACCTGCTGCTGGCAGCATATGTCCCGTCTTGGAACTGCTAGACCGCCAACTAGCACCACTTGATGAACAAAAAGGCACGTGTGCATTTACAGACATACATAAGGCGCTTTGGCTAATGGAGGGCATGGGCGGGAGAAATCTCTCAGATCCTATATATAATGCAATTTAAGGACAGACACCTGCACACAGAGATGGAGCTGGATAGTAGCCATATCTCCTGCTTAAGGGAACTAATTGACATAGACACTGTTTTTCAAAATGGCAAACCATTTTTAGAAGGCAGCAAAGTATTTTTAGCAGGAACTGGATGAGGTGGCATCATACAGTCCAGGAAAGACTGGAATCAGAGTTTGTTACTGGAAATATGGAAGACCATCATGAGCTGAGCTATCTCTCTGGTTGAACTTGCAGAAGAGGATTTATCTAACTTTTCTTGGACTGTGGTATTTCTCTTCAAGCAGCTGAGGACATCTCGTGTGTGTCACAGGGCTTATTGTTGTCTTTGTAAGCTACAGGACTAACACCTATTCTGGAAAGCTCTGTGTGAGCAAGTACAAGCAGTGGGAGATAACACAGGGATGGTTAAGGTGCATTGGCTGGGTGTAAAGTGCTTATCTGAAAGCGTCTAAGAACTGATGATGAAAGCAGCATGTGAGAGGCACCGTGGGTTTGTTCATAGTGTGCTCGTCATACCTGGGTGGGTTCTGTAAGTTTTCCCCACACTGCTGTCACGGGAAACCAGTCCTTCCTTTCCCAGCTGCCCACTAAAACCAGAAGCCACTCACTGGCCCTGGGCATTGACACCAGAGGACGGAAACTTGCATCACGATGAAGCAACAGTGGGTGGGGGCAGAACTCGTGCATCGGGTTGCAGCGGTGAAGTGTTTTTAACCCGACAGTGTTGTGCACTGCGAGCTAGTGACTCACGGAGCAGCTGAGCTGTGTCAGGTTTGTGTTGTGCTACCCATCACTTCGCCACAGGTCACCTGCAAGTGAATTGCCTGGCAGGAGCAGGGAGGCAGCTCCTGGCAATGCCACCACCAGGCTGCCCTTGTCCTTTATTGCAGAAACAGCATGGAGAAGCAACATCATGTGACACAACAGTAGAAATAATAGAATCGTTTACTTCTATGAAAATGCTATTAAAAACTAAGGATAACCGTGCCAGTGAAGCCCAGCAGATGTCCCAAAGGCTGATGAGAAGTTCCTCATTATCCCAGCCAACCTTGGGGAAATAGAGTCTATTTAAGGTTTTAGCATCACTAAAGGAATCATTATCCTACAACCTATGACAATCTGAGGTAATTTTGGAAAATGGAATCTACTGCAGTGAGCTGGGTGTGTTGGATCTGCAGTGCTGCACATCTCTGGTATTCAGCATCCAGCCAGGTCCCTGTTCTGGCAGAAAGATCAGCACAAAGGAAAACAAGGACACGCAGCGGAGGGGGTGGTGGAGCAGGGCAGGTCCTGGCACTGCCCCATGCTGCCCACAACAACTAGGCTGCAAGCGGTGAGCCCCGGAATGGGCAGGGGGTCAGCAAAAAAGAGCATCTCTTCCCCAACACTCTCGAGGTCGCTCTGCTGCGCTTAAGAGAACCTCTGAGAACAGGAGGTCAACAAAAAGGTATCTTTTTCCTTACGTGGCCTGAGATCATAGATGCAAAAAAGGTCTTCTCCACCCCAAATACTGCACTGTGCAAGCCAAAGCCCCCAGCACGAGGGGCTGCAGCCTGGAGCGCACAGAGCTCTCGAGCCAGGAGCCTCTCGAGGTCACTCTGCTGCGCTTAAGAGAACCTCTGAGGGGCAAGAACCTGGGGCAACCACAAGCGTGCAGCAACATTCACTTGCTCTACCTCCGCTGGACCGCCACCTTGTCTGCAGTAAACACAGGGGGGACAACGACCGCCGGCGCGGCGCAGGGAAAGCATCCAGGCATCGGTGAGGGCTCCCGTGCGCCCGCAGAAACGGGCCGAGCATCTCCAGCGTGAGGGAGACACAGGGGCTTCGGCAGCGAGCGAGCGGGAGGAGGAGGAACAGGCACTGAGACATGGAACAACTTAACGAGCAGCCCGAGCCGCTGACCTTTGAGAGGCAGCGGGGAAAAGCTCCCGCTTGGCCTCCTTGTGCTCACAGAGCAGTTCTGCAAAAATGCAGCCTGTCTGCTGAGCTCACACATCACGTAAGACAGATCTGGACCTCCAGTGCAAACGGCTTCAGGACGCCTTTTCTACTGAAAAGCACCATGCCAAAAATAAACAAACAATCCTTTCAGATAAGGGATGCTCGTTTTAAGAAAATGTGTTAAGAAAAATCAAAATACGCTGCTGCAGTGATCTGAAACTATTTAACTTATTTTCAAAGTCTAAAATAAATCTGGAATTTTTCATTCCAAGAAATTCTGCTCTTCACCCCACCAATTCAAATGCTTCCCTTAAGAAATTTTAACTAATGATTGTGATTTTTCCTAGACATTGACACTTTCACTGAGTACAGTTTGAACAAACAGTAGGTAGAAAGCTATGCTAGTAATTTAGTCCATCACCTGTAGACATGGGTTTATTTTAGTCCTGCTACTTGCAAAAGGAAATCACTACTACAGCTGTAGAAAACTACAGTTTTCATAAAGGAGCCTTATAAGGAGAGGAAAAAAAAACAAAACCAAAAAACAGAAACACAGAAAACCAGGCAATGCTTGTGCAGGTTGTACCTGCCTCTTTCATCTCTTTGCTTTTGGTAATGGCATCTCAAGGCAGCACTAGATTTTTTTTACGGATTAAAAGACAAAGAGCTGGGTGGTTCTAGAAATACCCCTCATAGGACACAGCGCTCCAAGCTCTGCATCCCCCTGCCCACCACCCTGCCCCACACAGGGGCTGACATGAGACATCGCTTGCACACAGGGCTCTGCAAGAGCAACAGCAAGTTAAGGACCAAGGAGCTCGTGGCACCCAACAAACCTCTGCACATTAACCAACCCAGCGCCACTTCCTCCACCAGGATTTTCTCACAGAGTCCTGCTTGGAATTATTAAAGGGAGTCTGCTCCTAGTCGTATTTCCTATGTCTTGGCAGCACGGCTGATTGCAGCCAAATTATCCCACTTTTATTTGAATTCTTTAGTCCTATCTTTCATCTTGCTCCCCCTTTCACTTCCCATACAGTGTTCTCTCTCCTCTAGTATCAAGAACGCTTGCTCCTTTGTAATAGCAGTAACAATTATTTTGTGGAGTTTGGGGCACAGTGATCAACTTTTCTCCAACAACTGTCTGAAATTAGAAATACAGCAGCTTCCTAAAGCGTCTGAAAAGCTGGGACGGCCACTTTACAGCACACAGTCTACCAGGATGTTCAGCTGTGGCTCCGGCACCTTCTGCCGCAAGCCCTGCCCAGGCAGGTGAGCGCAGAGCGCCCGGGCACTCGGCACCACGAGGCCCTGCGCAGCAGCCGCCCCCCGCACACGCTGCCCCCTCGGCCTGGCCCCGCGCGCTCGGGGCGCTCGCTCCGTTGCCGGCAGCTTCACCCCACTGCAGCGAACACAGGTAGAGCAGGACGCGTCCCCCATCCTTGCAGGGCTCCCACACCGGGGCGCCAGGCTGGGCCAGCGCTGCGGCCACCTGCAAATCAGCAGCTGCTCAGCGAGACTGCTCGAAAAGCACAACGGCTCTGCCAGGAACCTCCTCTGCAAAAGCGATTAGCACACACAGGAACATGCACAGACAAAAGAGAATATACAAGAAACAAGCACTGATTTTGCAATCCATGAGTTTAATTGCTTCAGCTTGTGTTTTTTTTCCTTGCTGTTTAGCTGTCCCTTTTCTACTGCAATCTTTGCTACTAACCTTGCGTAAATACACTTGTCCCAGACTGTACATAAACCAGATGCAGCAGCACAAGTTCCTATCTGCAGTTTTCGAAATCTTGGTTTCCCATCTTAAGAGAGAAAGTGAATTTAAAAAACTATCAGGTAGTTAGATTAAATATCTGATGGTGAGATGCAGTGCGATCAGATGACTCCATCATGGAAGAACATGATGGGAATCCATAGCAGGAACTACATTTCCACCTAATTTCTTCAGGAAATGGAAGCTGCAGAAGGTCAGCCAATCGCAGAACTTTGTTCCAGTAGGGCAGGTTAGGAGAACAGCATAGGAAGGAATTCTGGGGAAAAGGTTTTTTATTAAGCAGACATTCTTTTTTTTTTTTTTTCCCGCAATTCACTGCAATTTAACACATGTTGTAAATTTATCTTTAAGACCCTACAAGCAGAAAATGCAAGAAAGTCCAATGCTTATATAGGGATATGTGAACAAGTAGCAACTGCAAGAAGAAGAGAAGTCTCAATCTACTGTCCTACATCAAAGAAAATTACTCCATTACTCCTTTTTCTTTGCTCTAGTTTCAAGGACAGCTGCTGGACTTTGCTAAGCATCTCCTGAAAGGATCAATTCAAAATTATTGAGAACAAGTGACCTGTGTGCTAAGTACAAGTTACCCTAGAAGAACTGCCATGCAATGTGCATGAGAAATCAGCTTTATGCAGGGTGGAAAGCATTTCCTACTGTAACACCTAAAATCCATGGCAATGGACACGTGTCAACATGTTAAAAAAATAATATTCCACAATTAAAATGTAATTTTCCATAGGAAAAAATGTTGCCAGTACCTAGGAGCAAGTCTAGGAGCAAGAAAGCAGTCTAAGCAGGTGCAAACATTATAGCCACAAACTATTAAAAAAGAAATCTCAAGGTTTAAAGTAAAACAACCAAACGAAAGCCACATAATTTGTAGACAAGTCACCTATTAAAACAGGTTCTTAGAAAGAATAAAACCTATTTTTAAAACGTCACATACCACATTACTATCTGGCTAACAAAAAAAAAGAAAAAAAAAAAGAAAAAAGAAAAAAAACAGCCAAACTTTACAAACAGCATACAAACAGATTTCCTCTTGCAGTTGCAGTAAGAATATCAGATAAAAACAGTTATGGAATACATTGCAATAATGTTTACAGGGAACTTGTTTTTCCCTCCTCCCAGTGCCTTCAGTCCCATTAGTTCTTGCTTTGACCTTGATTTCAGCTTTTCCAGGCTTGCTCTCTGCGTGCAGAAAGAGGACCTTCTTTTGTCTATACAGAATATGACACGCAGGAGGCAGGAGAGGAGAGAGAAGATGAAACTTCTTGCTGATCCATTTATCTTTGTTACTATTTTACATTGCTCAGCCTGTTATAGATGTTACACGAGTTCAGGAAGGTTCTATCTCGGAGGCCTCTTCTATGAAGTTAGCAACAGGACTGAGCATCAGGAGTGGAAACAGTTTATACTCTCCATTCCCATCCTCTGAGAGGAGAGGTGGATCACCCATTCCCAGAGCATCAAGAGGCTCAGCCTGGCTTGCTGGAGCTGCTAGTGGCAAGACAGTTTCACTACCTGCTCTCCATCCTCCCTCAGGTTTCTCCTCCAGGGGGGCCAGTAGAAGGTCTTTAGCATCTTCTGTTTTCGCTGCAGCTTCGCCTGAGGGTAATTCTTCAAATAATGAAAGCAGAGGATTTGCTTTGTACTGTATCAGCTGCATATCTGAGAAAAAACAAATAACTTAAAACTCCAGACTGGGGCTATAACATGTCAGTGCAGGCTCTTATTCACGGCAAGGAAAACTAAAGAGGCTGCTTCAAAAATTCATTCACTGAAAACAGTGCACAGCTGTGCTCTGACCAGCTACATTCATAGCAGCAAGAGCAAGAGCTGCAGCTAGGCTCTCGTGTCTCTTAACATCAGTATTGAAGCACGCCTCAAGCCCCGACACCCAAGGCACAAAGTGGCCGCGCTCAAGCAGCCACGCGGGACGCGCTGCGCGTGGGGGGCTGCAGCGAGAGCTGTGCCTGTGCCTCCTGCTGCGGCGCTGCCACGCGTACGAAGAGGGGACAACCGGAGCGCAGCGGGGCACAGGATGGAGCTGGCAGGGCTGGGCCGCAGCTCCGTTAGGATCAGCAGCGTCTTCTAGTCTTCACATAAACAGTAGTACACCATATTACTGGCCAGAAAAAAATCCATTTAAGAACACACGATTTTGAAAGAGTTTGGAACCCCTACAGCTCTCAGATTGTTTCCTGCCCACCTTTGTTTCCTGCTGTTTCTCTCTCGTTTGCTCCCAGATCTTCAGTGCTGTCTGCCAGGTTTGCAATCTGAAGCAAAAGGTACAAGTAAGGCAAAACGCTTAACAACTCCCTCTCCCTCACACCCTCCAAATATCTACTGCTGCGTTAACAATATTAGAAGTGAAGGAAGGAGGTAAAAGGAAGAAAACAATTGGCCAAGGCAAACCTCTGACCCTACAGACCCTTTATCGCGCATGAGGACCAACAAACAGGAATTCTTAAGAGGGAGGCATGGTGAAACACAAACTTATGAAAGCCAAATAAGCTTCTGATTAGCAAGTATTTACTTCACTCTGCAAATTAGAACCCTTGTTATATTCAGTCTTGTTGGAAGATTACAGTTAAATCCCACTGTCCATCAATACAATAAAATTTTGCAAGTGCTGCTTGAACACAGCAGCACTTTACCTCAGCTGTGATCTAAGTTCTTCTGAAGGGAGGTTCAGTCCTAGTTGAATTATTATTTCAGGACTATAAAGAACAAATTACACTTGCACAGATTTTCTGTAGCATGGGACAGTTTTAGGTACCAGAACAAGAAAAGAGCACTTGCACAGTTGAATTATTATTATTTGATCCCAACGCCAAAGATTATAAAGAACAAATTACAGTTGCACAGATTTTCTGCAGCATGGGACAGTTTTAAGTACCAGAACAAGAAAAGAGCACTTGCAGAGAACTTTAGTGTGTCCCCTCAGAAAAGGCCATACAGCTGTGCTCAGAAAATATATAAGGTACTGCATTGTATTTTTTCCTTTAATATCGTCCCTTCAGTCTTCAAAGAGACTAATACATACAATTTAATCTGAAATCAGTCCCAAACCTAGTTATTAGTTGGCAGAAAGACATCCTGTAAATCTCTGATGTGAGGAAAAACAAGCTAAGAAACTGCACTCGCACACTTGGAACAAAATACAACACGATTCTCCTAACCTCCTCATTCTTAGCACAGAGCACAGAAGCGATAGTTAGAAGTAAAAGAATTCTCACAGACAGTTGAGTGAACAGACACCAGTTTGTTTCCCTTTTCCTGATGTGTTCAGATGTATTTAGAAATCAAAGAATATGTTACTCAAAGCAAAGTAACACTATGCCGAACATCTGTTTAAACTAAGTATATTACTGTGGCTAGGAACTTAAAATATATTTTTAATAATAAGAGAATAATTCTCTTAAATTATATATGCCAACAGTGATAACTGAAAATGTTAAGACAACAAGATTAGACAAAGGAGCAGTTTTATCCTGTGCTATCAGTCAGTTCATACCCTCCAACTTAGCTCTCAATATCATATTAATCCTCCCCATCACATGGAAAAAAAAAAAAAAAAAAGTCTCACTCTTACATTTTCCATACCAGGGGAAGTTTCCATCAAATTCATATCCAGGGCTGGCAGCTCAGGATTAAATGTCTGAAAGTAAAGAAAGACCATATGAAGGAGAACATGTGTTATAAAAGGGCTCTTAAAACGGAGCCTCAGAGAGATCCTGGCGGGACAGGAGCATCTGGCACAGACCTCTCCAGCCACCACTGAAGCACAGAGAAGCTAGCACTACTCCACAGGCTCTACCCTACAGCAAGTTACTTTAAACCAGAAAACTGATGGTCACAGAAGAGAAGACCACCACCTTTCTCAGCAATTCAAGGGACATGGCTGAGTTTTCATTCCGCATCACAACATGGAATGAAACACATAATCAGGATGTGACAGTACGTGAAGCAGCTAAAGAGGAAACAGTTCAAAAAAATTGAGTTACACGCAGGAGAAGAACTACATGAACTAGAAAAGGCTCTTGTGTTAACTTAAACTTTGTTAGACTCCTAGGATGACTACGTACCATTCTATCCCAGATTATTTCCTTCTCAAGATTTTCCTCCCTTTTGTCCATTACAACATGGAATAAATCAAAAAAAAATCATAATACAACCTAATTAATATCTTTCAGAAATCAGAATATATTAAAAGACACTCACTTCACTGAAAGCTTCAGAACCAAGGTTATACTGCTTTGCAGATAGCATTGCTTGGAGCTCTTCAAGGCTTGCATCAATGCAATTTAGAAAATCCTGGATTTCTTCTCTAAAAAGACAAAGTGACCATGAGAAACCATCAGCAATTAGGGCTTTCCTTTTTACCACAGACAAACTGCTGGAAACGATCTGCTAAGTTCTTGGCTATTACAGCTGGTGGGGCAAAAGGAGAGTCAGGGTGATAGAGCAAGGTCTGCAGAACAGGTTATACCAATACAAGAAACCACATTCCTGTATTACTTCTCATGACCTGACTATTTGCAGAACAGGTACAAGGAAAGACATCTGCACAGCATGTATATTAATGGTTATCATTAAAAAAAAAAAAAAACTCTTCCTTCCATACATATTTTCTCTCTATTTTATTAGCTTCTGAACATTCTCAGATGTCATCTTATATACTAACCTATGTTCAGATTAGAATCCATGCAGTTCTGATGGCTTTCACCTTGGAACAAAGCATGCTAAGCAAAGGACTGGGAATAATCAATAGCTAAAGGAATACTGCTTCTTTGGTAGAGCAATTGGATCACTGGGAGCTTTCAGCTGTTTCTCAGGACAATAGGTAGGACATGAGACAATCAGAAAGCAAGATGCAGTGTGGCCCCAACGCCAAGTTCCTGCTGTGTTGCAAGCTATCTCCTATACTGCAATGCTTAGCTACAAACGACATAAAATTCCAAGTCATTAACCCATATTTTGCTGTACCAATGAGGCATTATACTAAGTACAGTCATGCAGTTATTCCTACCTGAAATATTTGAAAAGTTAATTTACTGTGGTCTACTAATATCATCTAAAACTTTGACACAGAAGCATTTTATCCAAAGATCCCAAGGATGATGACTGCATAAAGCAGTTTCCAGAAAAGAGTTAGTATAAAGATCTACAAACCTGTCCAGTAAAGGATCACTTTGGTTTCCAGAATTGTTTTCGTTCAGTATGGAGTCAATCACTGACACGGGGTCTTCTGGAGTATTAGTTTGTGCTGTATGAAGCTCCACAGCATCATTTCTTATTTCACTGGTTTTGTTAGCATCTTTTATCTGAATATGAGGCATAGGTTCTGCACAGTTTGACTCAACCAGCTGTGATACTTGACAAATCGGTAAGCCAGGATCCAGAGCTGTTTGTGTCTCTCTATAAAATATGACAGACATTTTATGTAATATACCTCACGCGGAAACAAGATGCAGGGGAATTCACCAAATGTACTGCTCCCTGCTTGAAGTTTAGTATCTTAATACCTAAAAAGGTCAAACCCACCAAGGGTTCAAATAATCAACTGGTCTTTCAAGAAAGAGGAAAAATAAAATTGCTAAAGACTGATGAAGGATCATTTGTTACAGCTTATATGATGAGCATGTATCACAGCAGAACATCCCATTTGCCAGAGTAAAGATGACATGAGAGGTGCATTGGCATATGGTGGGAAGGAAACTCATCATACCATATTCCTCAAAAAAAAAAAAAATCAAACTGGTGCATATTTGACTCTGGATATTGACAATTAAATCTGAGGCCACAAAAAATGTTTTCCCTTCAGTTGCAATTAGTAAAACATCAACAGTAAAGTTTAAAAACTTTAAACTAGAGCAGTACTGGAGACTTTAGAAGTGTCAACCAGCTTGCTAAGATTACAGGCATGAGACATGAACTCCTTAAAAGGCTTTACTGACCATGGCCAATGCTGCATGCTGTAAAAAGCCCATCATGTGCAGATGTAATAAAGAATTGAGAGGCTATTTCCCATTATTCATATCAGTTGCTTACATTAACACAAATACTTATTTAATCACATAAGTAAATATTTCTCATCCTTATACATACCTGGCTTTGCTACTTGTGTGGGCCAGAGCAAGAAGCCCATCAGTAGCATTATCCAGAGTGTCAGTGATATCTCGAATGATAAGACCTGTACCATTTCCATCTCCACCATCCAAATTATGTTCAGAAAAAGTCACCTGCGGGATACAGCAAACAATGAATAGATCAAAATTCTGTCTGTTTTGGTACAGAACCTGCATTCTTCTTGCAGCTTTTCTTCCCCATTAAGATTTCACCTATGCCATGTTGATGGATTGTGTGATTTTGTAGACAAGCTAATGCTTTAAATGTGTCCACCTCAAAATGGACTGTATTCAATTATGAGATTAAGATATTAACAGTTGTAAGGAAAACTTGCAGGGAGCAGGAGAAATCACGGTATGGCATCCTCTCCACGAAGAGAGTGTTTCACCCCTGGGAACACTTACTGCTTGGCCACTCTCCACAGGAATGCGAACGTACTGGCGACTGTACTTGGAAGGGGAAGCACCTGCAGCGTCTGGTAGAGACCTGGGAAGAAACATGGCCTTAGGGTACATTACAGCAGTAAAAAGTTGTAGCAATGCCAAATAACTGCAGTAACAGTAAGAACTACTCCATTTCACTTTTAAGAAGCCTTGCTTTTTGAAATTGTTTTTATTAAATGTATTGCAGACAAATTACTAAATAGGCTTTTAATTTCACAGTAAACCAGTTGCACTTTTTAAAACAGTTGTTGTTTCTGGCCCTTCAAAATCTAAAATTTAGTGTATCTTTTCTTCCTATGCCATTTTTTTTAGTTATAAACAAGAAGAAATCTTTGTTTCATGTTTTTTTCCACCTCCATCAGCATTCTCTAATTTGAATGAAAGAACACACGTGATAAAAACTGCACATAAGTTGTTTCTTCTAGAATTTGATTTGTCCCCATAACACACATCTGACACTAACTTTCATCTAGCCAGTAATTACCTTTTTCTTTTGACCCCAACAATATAATTTCCTCGCATCAAACTTAGTATAAATTGAAGAATCTAAAAAGAAAAAAAAATAAAAGAACAAGTGATCAGCATAACAATCCTAATACTCAATTATTAATTCAGACTTAATTCAGCTTCCAGTGCAAAATTTTGTAGTTATGTGATTGAAATTAATAAGTATATTAAATGTCCATTTGTGTTCTTGTCTTAAAAATAAAAGGTTACAAATAGCACTGAAAAATGATCCCACTAAGACAGATTTTTTTAATCCAATATAACACCGAAAGTCACTACAGAAGATACCAGACCAGAAACAGCTGAGAGAGAAAACAGAAAAATCGATGCAGCAACACCTAGAGTTTGTGGGTTCCAAGTTGGCTTCTTGAGTCGTCAAAATCTGACTTGGCCAGAGATCTTTCACAGAATTCATTCCAGGTGCCTGCCGTCTCTTTTTATGTTCCTACTACCATTCACTGCCTCCAAGCCCCACACTTGCCCCAAGCCCAGTGCTGAATTCTTAAAAAGTGCTTTACTGATTTTTCTCCAAATAATCTAGCCTCACTGAGCTTTCAAATATACCAAAATATTTAGTATTTTGCTTGTGATTCTTTGTTTCTCTAATTCTTGGACGCTTAGGAACTGTGAACATTTTGTCTATGCTGCATTAATATAGCCTGTTCAGCTCTGTGTCATTTGTCATTCTACATAAGCAAAGAATGCCATCAGTTATCATAGAGGCAGGAATAAGGATGGTAGCACTGAAGATGCTGCAATGGTACCTTAGACAGCAGCTTCTGTTGTTGACTGTGCTTCTGCCTTAGAACTGCCACTTCTTTCCACAGGGCCTTATTTTCTCTGCAATGCAGAATAAATTAGAAGACAGAGGATGAACAGAGTTTACTTTATATACTCTAGTTCC